CTTTTTAAAGAAAATGGCATTTTTTTTACGGTGTTTATACTCCAGTTAACAACTGGATTCAATCACCTAATTAGTTCTCTGAAATCAATAAATTGGTTTAGCCCTATTTGCATGTTGTGTGCAATTTGTTAGCAACATAGGCATTAGAAACTAGAAAGAAGACCGGCTCACAGGCTCAGTTTGTCCTCTGTGGCTGTCAGACTGAAAATGTTAGCTTAAGGCTTAATGTGTTTGGACTTGGACAGTCAAACTCTGCCTATGGAGAAAATGTTTGATCAGCTTATGTTTTTCCTTTATACAAAATGTCTTCAGGGCGCAGCAACAGAAAACTTATTATTCAAGCTCTTTTTTTCCCCCTAATATATAATAGGGTTTTTTTTTAGCGTTCACTTTAGAATCAAGATTCTTCATTGTCATTATATCATAATGTAATTTAAGGACTATCTATCTTAGAATAAACATATAGGACATAAAATATGCCAGATGACCAAAGGGCTTTGAACCTTCATCCATTTCATTTGACTTTTAAAGCTTCCACTCACTGAAATAATGGATTGGCTGAGGTCTCAGCTAACGTCTATCTTGGCCATTGTTTCAGTGACAAACCTTTGTTAACATTTTATTCACATGTGGTATATTTTAGATATGTTTAGTAGAAGTATGCTAGGAAAGAATATCTATTCTAGCTGTTTGCTCATAAACAGGCTCAACATGCATGACGCAGGCTTCTAGTAACCCTGATTCCAGACTTTTCGCTCTCAATGGTATCTTTTTATTTTATGTAGAATTCTCTTTATTTATTTTACTCCTTTGTCTTCTCCCCAGGCTCCGATACCGTTTGAGCTCTTTGTTGTTATCATAGCAACCCTTGCCTCGCACTTTGGTCACTTTAATAGTGAATATGGTTCAGGGGTCGCTGGAGACATCCCTACAGGCTTCCTCCCTCCTCAGCTGCCAGCATGGTCCCTGATCCCTAATGTAGCCGTCGATGCCTTTTCCATCGCCATTGTGGGATTTGCTATCACCGTCTCTTTATCTGAGATGTTTGCCAAGAAACACGGCTACACAGTGGACGCCAATCAGGAAATGTACGCCATTGGCTTCTGCAACATCCTGCCCTCTTTCTTCCGCTGCTTCACGACAAGTGCTGCTTTGACGAAAACCCTCGTCAAAGAGTCAACGGGATGCCAAACCCAGATGTCAGGACTGGTCACGGCTGTTATCCTGCTGCTGGTTCTTCTGGTTATCGCTCCACTCTTCTATTCCCTTCAGAAGTAAGTCTGCCATAAGTTCTAGATGAATGAAAAACATCTAAATTTTTATGTGCCTCAAAATACAAATGTCCTGATATGATTTATACGATCATGAGGAACATTTAACATCTTAATTACATTAATGCAACGTATCTACTAGTTTACATTTTCAGTAATAAATAACTGTCCTTGCAATCAGTTTCTCCCCACTCGTTAATCAATGATGCCATGCAGGTTATAGACCTCCATATTTTATCGTGTCTGAAGGTTTTGCATAGTCTATCCTATTTAATGTTGATCATGTTCAATTTACGCTTTTAGTTGCACCTTAAATAGTGCACTAATAAAATATGAAGCTGGTCTTTTTTCATAACCTTTAAAGCAAGAAAGCCGCAGCCTATTTATTTTTGGATAGCTGTGTTTCTAATTTTGTTTAAAACAAAGCATTAAAATAATGTGATTTTTAGTTTTTGTCTCATTTCATTTTGAAACGCTAAAACCAAAGAGCGAACCATAGACAGATAGAGATCAACTTTAGCAAAGTCTGAACTTTAAAATGTTCATAGTCCTTCAGCAAACCGGAAGCTTTATTGTTTACAATAGGAAGTGATTTCCTTTGAAAAGAGGTTTCAGAGGTCAACTTTGACATCATTATAGATCAGATCTCATGTTGACAACCTGTTTCTCTTTCAGCAGGAGCTCTGTTGAGTACAAACTCCGGACACAGGTGGTTTGCAATGCCCAGAGAGGCATTCAGTTACAAAAATAAAGAATAGCAAAGAACGGCAATGATTGAGTGAATATAAATGAGCTCTCACTCATCAGGAGATTTATTAACATACAAACTCTTTGGATTTTTTTCCATGCTTTTTTTAGTATGCTATTGTATTTTGATGTGAAAGGATTATGAAATGTAGTTTTGACAATTATTTCAAAATAAAAGAAAAATGTGTGGCATGCGTTTTTATAAGCCTGTCGCTATATGTGTTATTTGCTCTTTTGAAGTAACAGTAAACAACTTTGATGGCACATAGTTTCAAATTTTCAACAAGTTTGTCTTCAAGCATATTTGCCTTGCTGCTGATGTGTTAAAGGAGTTATACTCACCTTCCTGTCTGCAACTTCAAAATAATTTGTTTTTATCAAACTTTTAACCTAGATAAATTGTGACGTTTTTATGTTTAGCAGTTTATTTGTCCTATTTTGCACCAACATACTTTTGTGTAATCTCCACTTTCCATGTCTTCATCATGCAGAGTGTGTGCAGGTCACTTTCCTCTGCTGCTACGTATAAAGAGGAAAGGATGATAAAATATGCAGATTTAAAGCGGGTGTGAATTGGTACAAATTAACTTTAAAGAAGTTGCAGGTTACATGTTCTTTCACATGGTTTCTCCTTAGTTTCACGCTTTTCCTGTTTCTCCTGATCCCATCCTGCTCACACAGATCCCATTCCTCTAGAAAACTGGTAACCTTGGTTGACATGGGTTTTTAGTTTGATTTAGGCTGGACTTTTAATGCCCCATATTCTGCAAAATTCACATTATAAACATTTTGTAACTGTCATGTGTCGTAAAGCCATTGTCCACTTCTTGTCTAATGTGTACTTAAAATGGTCTGTTTGAAAATCATGCACCTTATGATGTAATAAGGGGAAATAAGCTGTCCGTAGCAGCCCATACTTTGGTCAAGCTACTGTCTTCATCTTATGTATTATCCCATTATCCCTAGTCTATCTTTATGCACTCTGACTGGTTATCATGGTTGTGGGTTGTGGGGGTGTGGCCTTCAGGAGGACAGGGTGTAGAAAGCCAAAACAGCTCATCCAAAGGAGGGCTGAATGAGGACATTTTCTGTCTGCATCATCTGAGAGGAATTGTTTTCTGCTCAAATGTCATAAAACACGCTCTAAGGGGCCATTGCTGATATTTTTAATTCCAAAATGTAGCATAATATGAGACTTTTAAATGGGCCATTCTAAAACAGGAACATGCGTTAATGAAATCTGACTTTGTGGCTCTGGTTGGTTGTTAGTATTTGTCCTGCTATAAGATTAACCTCCATTCATTTAGGTTATAGTCTTTCTGTATCCTCAAACAGGTTTTCTTTTGGTCTTACCTTGCGTTTTGTGCAAACTGTCTTTTACTAACTTTGCCTTTCTTGCCTGCTGTTGCTGGAGGAAAACCTCTCCTCAGCATAATTCTGTCAACCCCGTGTCCTGAACTTCTTCTGGCTTCTGGTTTGTCCCTCTTTCACGAAGGCTTTATTTGTGGAGATAATTCCATCCCTGTGGCTCCTCCAGAGTAAACATTGACCTCTTTGTTACTTCTCAGATACCTGTTCTTGATCAGTATGTCTTTTTACTTAGTCAAGCATATCTTTAGTTGTGTTAGACTCTTTCTATTTTCAGATATTGGATTGAACAGATCTATAGCATGTCCTGAGTTAGAGTTCCCTACTACTTTCTTTCAAAAATTCTTGCTGTGCTCATTAGTGTTCATTAGGCTTTTTTTTCTTTTTAACTGTGCTAATGTTCTCCAACAAAGCTATAACACCTTCACAGAATAGCTTTGTTTATCATCTCAAATAACATCTGGAACCAATCGACTGATTAGTAAGCTTATTTATTAAGTTTATTACCTTTTTTTATGTATTGAACATGGATTATTGTCTTTCATTCCAGTTATAAACTGCTTTGTGCTCAATAGCTCACTAAAACAGCTTAAAGTTTGCGGCTTTGAGGTAAATTTCAAAAAGACCAAGTTTCGATACTTGGAGGAAGGCTTTGCTCATCATGGCGTCTTTTGGGCCTCAGATGATTGCCTACTGTATGACTGCTTGTACTGTACATATCTTTAAAAGGTTCCATTTTATGCTACATTTGAAAATAAGAAATATTATTAATGGTGCCCCCAGAGCTTGTTTTTGGCAGGTTTCACAGGAAAATTCCTCTCAGTTTATGCAGACAGACCAAAAATCTCCTCCTTCAGCCCTGAGCTGTTTTGGCTTTCTACACCCCTGTCCTCCTGAAGGCCACACCCCCAAAACCTGCAACCATAACAACCATAGTTTGTATACTGTAGATGGCCTAGGAGCATGGGATAATAAATTAGTTGAAGGCCAGAGCTTGACCAATGTATTGCTAAAGACAGACTGCTCTGGACAGCTTATTTCCCCTCATGACATCATCAGGGGCATGCTATAAAAACAGACCATTTTGAGCACACATTTGCTAAGATGTGGAGAAAGGCAGAGATGGAGGAGGATTTTTTTTTTCTTTTTTTATATTTGTGAACTGTTACAACATGTTTATAATGAGAATTTGACTTAATATAGAACCTTTAAGCTCTATTCTCACTTGATTGAAAAAGTAAAGCGGTTCCATTAAATTCTTGGTACCTCCTACAATAGCAGAGAATTCAGGAAACTCCTTAGGTATTTGTTTTACATTCATTTACTTTCCATTTCAGAGCAAAGAGTGACTGCTTTCTCTCTCCTTTGTATTTTATAGATGTGTTTTAGCGGTTATCATCGTGGTGAACCTTCGTGGGGCCTTAAGGAAGTTCAGAGACATTCCCCGGATGTGGCGTGTAAACAGAATCGATGCTTCCATCTGGCTGATCACCATGGCGACGTCAGCGCTGGTCAACACAGAGCTCGGGCTCCTGGTTGGGGTTTTGGTGTCGGCCTTCTTCGTCCTTGGCCGAACCCAGCAGGCCCAGGTCCTGCAGCTAGGCCGCGCCGCCACCAGGGAGCACTATGAGAATGTGTCGTCCTACCACGGCCTCCAGACCCATTCTGGAGTGGCCGTTTTCAGATACGGGGCCCCGATTTACTATGCCAACCAAAGCTTGTTCAAAAAGTCTCTTTACAAATGTGCAAATCTTAACCCCGTAAAGGAGAAAGTTCGGCGTTTAAAGTTCATGAAGAACAAAAAGCAGGAGGAGCCTGGAGCAAAGTCTGAAGAAAAACTAAGCAGAGAGAACGAGCAGGAAGCTTCTGCCTCCATATCAGTGATGCTGGATGAAAACTCTACCATAAACCTACGCAGCTTAGTAATCGACTGTAGTGGCGTCTTGTTTTTAGACACGGCTGGAGTGAACGCCCTGAAAGAAGTACGCAAAGATTTCAAGGATCTTGCAGTTGAAGTAGTTTTAGCTCAATGTAACACCTCAGTTCTGGACTCCCTGGAAAGAGGAGGTTACTACGACAACCAAAAAGATGGAGAAGTAGGAAAAAACAACATGCTGTTCTTTACCATCACCGATGCCGTCAACTATGTCCAAAGCCTAAATGTTCCTAATGGAGACTGGGAAAACAAATCTTGAAGATGCAATAACCCACAGAAGAACTTTGTTTACATCTATTTAATATCCAATGAAAACAGAACCAATCAGTAACTCAGTGATGCCGACTTGCCTTATAATCCGTCTGCAGCAGATGAAGTTCTGTGTTTCTGAAGTTGATCAGAAATATTTATTCCCATTTGAGCAGGGTAAATCAGTGTTTCAGACGGTTACTGGAAACTTTAGCTAGAATGTTACCATAAGCTCCTGTATTTATTTTTTATTTTATAAATGAATAAAACAAGTTGGAGTATTTTAGGGCAAAAATGATGAAATATTTTTATTATAGTGTTAATTATGAAGAAATAATCTTATTTTTATGCAACTCGTTTTTTTATTAGATCTTGTTTCTTTTTGTGATTGGAAAATCCTTCGAAATTTCATAGTGGTCAAGTTTTCTGTTTTTAACGTTTATGGTCAAAACCACGTTAATAAAAAATAATCTCGACTTAAGAACAGGATAAATTCCGTCCTCTAGATTGAAGGAATCTTCCAATTGACACTGTAGTTGTCATTCCTGTCAAACTGCTTTGTGCCTTTGCGTTATGGAAAGTTACTAGGATTACAGGAAGTGCTGACGCCTGTTTTAGTCAGGCCCAGACAGTTTAATTTGATCTGTGATTAAACCAATGCAGTTGGTTTTGCAGCAATTATTTTTTAAGCAGCACAATGGTTTTGTCACATATTGTTTTAAATTTCTTTTACCCCTCATATTCATGTCTAAGAGCTGTTTTTGTCCAGTCCTATCACATCAGGCTGCTCTGTTTTAATCTTCTGGAATGAATGCTGATCAGCCTCTTCATATTAAATGACCTCAGTAACTTATCAGCTGCATAAACTGTCATTTTAAAGATTTTACTAATGGAAAATGAAACAACTGCAATCTTCAGCAGATGTAGTTTGAACCTTGATCTAAAGATCAAAGTACATATTTTTCTCAGAGGTTAGGATATGGAAAAGAAAAGAACATATATATATATTTTTTTTTTTCATCTTTTGTAGTTTTATAATGTGGCACGATTAACACAAACCAGCCTCGTATGTCCTTTTTAAACATTGTCTTAGCTTCAGATCTCGGTAAGTTTAGCTGAGTCTTTTCTTATAATCATGTCCTGACCTTAGTGACCTTAGCTCTGTACTGTTAGATACATAATTACTAATTAAACATTTTCACACACTGATTATATTTAAAAAGGAAAGCACTTTGTTAAAAAATGTTTTTTTCCTCACAGAATAACTACTGTACATCATATAAAAGTTAGATTTTTCTACATTTTTTAAGGAATAATGTTGGTGGTTTGAAATATGTTCAGCAACTGTAATGTCTTAGTAAATATCACCTTGTTAAGTGAAGAGGATGAAGGAAAACAAAGCAGGGTTTTTACTTTCTGGAGCAGGATTACCCACCTCTGCTCTGTACAATCAGTCTGTATGAGATTTCATACATTTCAAAACCTATATATTGCTTTAGAATCAAATGATAGCTGTCAAATTAGTTAACATTTAATTAAATTATCAGTATAGAACATCAAATATATTTATATTTGATATTCTGTACTGCCTTAATGAAAGTAAGATTTTAAAAAACAGAGCAAGCAGTGAAAGTTCTAATTCTAACAGTTTTTTAAAGTCTGAAGTTGATCCTGAATATTTAACCGGAGAGCCATAGCTGCTGATCCCATATTTACTCATCCTTTGATCTGTGAATGTTTTCCTGTTTTTGACAAATCAATGCTTTTTTTTTGTACAGTTTGTAATTATTGTTCAGAGTTATACAATGTGATACTGGAACTTCAGTCAATAAGGTTAAACAAAGCACATAAGGAATGTGTCGCTCTAATTGTTTTCATGTTCTGCATCAGCCTCACTGCTGAACAGGATGATGTCACTGTCCTTTACTGTAACATGAAAAATATGCAGCTAAGGTTGTTTGAGGCTAAAGATATTGACATGGGAGATTTTTACACCGTCCTAAAACATCCTCTTTTTATTTTGTAATGTTTGATAATGGCAGTCAGACGTCATGGGTTGGGTTAAAGACTCTATGGAGCAGAGCCTGTACATATTTAATCAGTCAACAAAGTGACGGGCGATTACACCCTCTAAGGGTTAATGTAGGTCATTAGAATGAAGGCCAGAGCTGTTACACAGTCATAAAGGTTAATAAAGCTCATATGCTAGATATTTATAAATTGTTTTATTATTGCATATATTTAATAGTTATGGATGGTGTAAGAAACAAGACCTCAGGTTTAGTCCCGCCCAGAAGAAATAATGAAAAGTGGTTGTTCTAAAAACAAACAAAAAGAAGAAGGAAAAAAAACAATAGTTCTTGTTTATATGTTTCTGCCAAAAGCTGTTGCTATCTGTCACCAGATGCCTTAATCTACAAATTAGCTCTGTATTTGTAGCACTATTTTATGGAATTGCTGTATGCACATGTTTGGGGTGTGACTGTTCACATTGCATTAGCACTTATAGTGTGGCGGGGTTTTGAGGCCAGATTTTTTATTTTTTTTATTAATCTGGCTTATCCTGTTTAGCTTGTTTTGCTTTGATAATCAAACACAGAATGGTAGGAGTGCAATTGTTGTTTTGTTGAATTACATGGAGAGATTCACTGCTCTAATGCTTAAAAGTAAACGTGATCTATAAGTGCTGGTAGGGATCAATTTTTGTCAAGTTTAAATGATCAGATTAGTATAAAACTGTCTTTTTTATTATTAGTTTCATTCTGTACAACAGAGTCCATATGCCAAAAAAATTAGTTTGTATGCATCTAAAACTTTATAATAGAGACTTTATTACTAAAACCAAAGTATCTAAGCCAAATTATGGTTTAGAACCTATATGTGTAGTTTGTAGTTTTTGTATGGGTAAATTCTCAATTATTTTTTGTTATAAGGCTCAGGTTTATTTTTGCTGCTGTTTATTTATTAATAGGCATAGACAAGAGACTATTTCTGGGTGTCTTATAACAATGTTTGTCTTATAACAATGTTTTATAATATTTTATCAAATAAAAGCCTAATTATACAAATTATTTTGTTTTCTTTCTTTTTTATATGCAGTTTAATCTTAAAGCTTCAATTCCTCTAGATAGCATGGTCTAATGAATGCTACATACAAATATGCATGTTTCACCAACTCTAAGCTCTTATGATTCCTTTAATTTGAGTAGAAAATACTATCGCTAGTTTTACATAGATTAAATAAATACCTCTCCAACTTCTAATTGCATAATTAATTCCTTAAAAGAGTTTCAGGAATGGAGCCTTAACTCATTTTCTGCTGCGCATCCATGCAGTGAAGTCTCTGTTTCCTATAGGATGACGTTAAGATACAGAGGTTTCCATTTGCCCTCCATGTCCTCTTGTGATATCTATTGCTATAGAATACACACTCATATAATGCAGCACTGCCACCTTATTTTCTTAGTTTATTAATAGTCTCTAAGGCTAATCAATAGATCTTTTTTGAAGCCTTTAAAGTAAAATATAAACTCAATAAATTCCTGCTTTTTTGTCTCATGTTTAAATGACAAAAAAAGAGAAAAGGATCAAATAAAATATCCCTCGGTGGAGTTATACCCTCGCTGGATTTAAACAGCATCCTGTGTCACTACCAGACTCTGAGGTTGCAATAAAAGGGGGATAGACGAGATTCATTAAAATCCGGCTTTACTTCCACCTTCAGAGGTTGAGGTAAATAATGAAGATGGGTTCTCAACAAGCCACCATGCAGGGAAGAGTGACTCATCAGGTCGTCATCTGCACCAAACTCTCAGCGGTGTAACTGGCTGAAAGGGAGCCGCACAGGTGTATGTTAAAAAGGCTGACGAGCCCTCTGCCTTGCTCCTCATTAGAAAAAGGAAAACAAAATAAACAGGACAACTAAAGGGACTGGAGGGATTGACTAACCTGTCTCCTAAAATAAATAAAAAAATCCTAATTATTCAAATACTTGAGTTTTCTTCTGTTTACCTCAGTGGAAGCCTGTCAAACAGAGCATGGCAGTGTAAACAAGTCATAAAAGATAAGCTTTCATTATTAGTCTAATGACTGATTTGACTTTAAACTTTATGGTCCCCTATAACCGGTCTCTCTCTCGTTTATTAAGTGTGTATATTTCCAGTCAGAGATGTAGATACATTTATGAGAAGCTCAAATGCCAAATTTTATTAGGTCTTTAAAGCACAGTGATTTTTCAGTAGGATTATAACTTGAAGGGGGAGATTCCATAGAGGTTAAAGACTGAATCCCTTTAGAACCCGTTTTCATCTGCAGTTAGGATAAATGTGACATCTAGCAATAGCAATTTTAAATTCTACTGTCATTCTTTCGATTGAGGTGAAGTTGCAGAACCCAAAATGTATAGAGGGCGATCTTTTATTTCCGGGTGGATCATCTAAATAAGAGGTCCTCCTAACTGTCAATCACTCAGGTGAAATGTTTACGTAAGGTGTCCTACGAGCTACTGTTTCATCCAGTCATTGGAGCTTACCTTTCTCACCGCGGTTCTTGGAAAATGAAAATGAGCGTCGTAAGAGAAAAAGTGTCTACGGACTCTATGAGAAGTAGACTTCGTAGCCTTTTAAAAAAAGAACCTAATTATTCAAATATTTGAGTTTTCTTCTGTTTAAGCCCTTACTCTATGAGAAGAAGAGTAAGGCATCACAAGATTCTTTCTCGCGTTCACTGAAAGCAGAGGTCGGGCTTCCCACTGATGCCTCATTTACGAAGTTTCCTCTTGACAGGTAAAGCTTGGCATGCTATTTGGAGAAATCATTTCACATCACTGCTGGTAGATGGTATCTACCTCTATATTATAACTTTCCAGGGAAGATAAGTTTATTTTTTTTTGTAATTTGCATCGTTAGTAATTATACGGTGACTATAGATCCTTATTTACCCCGCAAACACGTCCAAATTTCCATTGCAGCACACACACACACACACACACACACACACATACAAGCATGTCATGACTTTTCAATGTACCAGTAGTCTTATTTGCAGGGAAACTTTTTCATGTATAAATTTGGGTGAGTTGAGATTAATCCGAGAAACTGTCTTATCATTGCAGGGGTCCCCGCACCTCCCTGAGGAGAAATGGGTTTGTTTATGCTCTTAGGCGATCCCTCACAGGAGCAGGTACAGGATTGTGTATGTGCATTTTTTTTTTTATAAATTTTTTTTTTAAGTGGAGCGAGCACGTCTTTCCAAAATTTCACTATATCTTTAAGTCAATTACTCATCTACCTTGTTGTACCACTGCCAGTAAAACAACCACACTCAATGCCACCAACATATTTTACAGTTAT